TCCATGTGTACCCCTCCGTGCATGTGTGCCCCTCCGTCCATGTGTACCCCTCCGTGCATGTGTGCCCCTCCGTGCATGTGTGCCCCTCCTTCCATGTGTACCCCTCCTTCCATGTGTACCCCTCCGTGCATGTGTGCCCCTCCATGCATGTGTACCCCTCCATACATGTGTACCCCTCCGTGCATGTGTACCCCTCCATACATGTATACCGTGCATGTGTACTTCAGCGAATGAGATGTGATTAAGGTAAGCAGAGGGTATAGCTAGCAGATTGATCACAGGAATGTGCCCTCTCGGGCCGTCAGACTCACCGCCAATACCCAGGGAGAGGTCCTGGCTGGGACTAAGGCCAGGGGTGCTGCCGCCACTGTGCAGTGCCCACCGCAGGTCCGCCGCGGGGTCGTGGCTCCACCCACACAGACCGCGCTCAAAGTCACAGAGGCTGGGCGGATAGGAAGGGCCGGCGGTAGGGACTGGAAGCAGAGAGAGATGCCTGTGAATATCAGAGCACTAAAATGCCCCAATGCAGGTGCAGGGAGGGCTAGTGGAACCTTTGTCAGCGTATATAAACTTTGATCGGAGCTCATTCTCCCATAATGCTTTTCGTGATTCAAAGTCACACAGAAAAGGGTTCTCATCAATGCCAGCTCTCACCAGGACCCCTGATACATCCTGAATATGAGTCTCACAACTCCCCCCACTGGCAGAGAGGCTGCTGGGCCAGGCTTCTGCTGGGGAGGACTGGAGGGGGCCCATTATAATTATACACAGGAAGAAGATTAGCAGCCACAGGCCCCCACTGAACAGAGCAGGGCTCTCCATACGTCTAATGTCAGGATGCAGCATCGACCTGGCCCTGGACCGGGCAGACAAGGGTGTGTGTCCGTGTCCCAGCAGTGATGCTGGTGCTGACAATGCAACGGGACCTACGGCATTTAGGCAGGATCGTCATCCTGTCAGGGTGAGCTCCAAGGCTCAGAATCACGCCCAAGGACGATCGACCGCTCGACAAAGATGTCGAACGCAGGCGTCGGCACAGCGGCGTGAGCGCAGACAGGAAGCTAAGGACACGCCGGGCATTAATATTCCATGCCCTCCCCAGCTTTGTGCCCCCACTGCTCAGCGTCAGGCTCAGACAGGCATTGATCGTGAATCGTAGAAGCCCTCCTTGCTGCCAGTCGCTCACCATGCATGGCAGGGCATCAGCAAACAAGGGATGGAACTGGGTGCTGAGTTTGCAGATGTCCCTGTACCTCCAGAGACCCTGCAAAGGCCTGGCTTGCGGCTTGTATCAGGAACAAGCAGGGGGGGGGGGGATTGAAAGTGCTGCCCTTCTGAGCCTGGATTGTCCCTTTTTGAATTATTTCTGAGCCCTTTTTTGATTACAGCACCCCCCCACCCCTGGCTTGTGTATGTGCTCCATGGTCCACATGCATAACGTGCCCAATAAGCTCGTGCTTGGTGGTGACCTGCACACGCTAACGCGTGCCGCTAGCTAGTCTGCTCACGCTGTCAGACCTGCTCGCTGTCTGTGTCTCGGCAGCGTGGCGTCAGGCATGCAGATGACACTCACCTGGCCACAGACTCTGGGTGGTGCTGCTCGCCGCTGCCCGCGGCAGGGTGGGTGTGGCTTTATCCGTCACGGGGATGGTCTCTGCGGGGATACAGCACAAGACAGCTTAGCTGGGGAGGGAGTCACACGGCCCTGCTACCGGATGCAGGACACTCTCAGTGTGATGCTGATGGATGGTGCAGCATTTCTGACCTTCACAGGCAACACCTAGATGTTAAACAAGACAGAGAGTATATCTGGGAGGCAGCGTCTGCCTTGTCCCAATCAGCACTCTGACACACAGAAGGGCGTGTGTGCTGAGGGAGGTCTACACTCCAGGCCCCCTAAAGGACACACACACACACACACAGAAGGGCGTGTGTGCTGAGGGAGGTCTACACTCCAGGCCCCCTAAAGGACACACACACACACACACACACAGTCACACATCCCTCCCATCTGAGCATAAGACCTTCTGTAGGCTGTTAGGAGATGGCTAACCATGCGTAATTGTGCAGTATCTGAGAGTACAGCAAGTTGGAAGGTGGGGGACTGTCCTCCAGCTGTGCCCCCCCAGGGAAGTGTGGCAACGCCACCCCCCCAACAAGCAGCGCAGCCCATGTCCCTGATTATTCTGTTATTTTGTTTTCCATGTGACTCACTCGCTCTCTCGCCTGCCAGAAAGCGTGTGTCACCCCCCCCCCCCCACCATCCTCACTGTGCACTAGAGAGCTGTCATCCTCCTGGCTGACTGGTGGGCTGGGACCCCCAACTGCCCCCCCGAGACATCAGAGGAGAGTCGTTGGTAATTGCCATCCATCCATCCCCCCACTTACGGGGGCGACTCTGAACCTATGACCTGCTCGTCGCCGGACAGGCGGTAATTGTAGGCGCACATCTGGAAACCCTGTCATGGACATCTGTGCTCCTGGCTCCGGAAGTAGCCTGACAGGTCTGCACGGCGGGCCGGGATATAAAACAGCTCTGCAAGAGGGCGCTATGGCAGGACGGCCCTGTAGGGGGCACTCTGCGAGGACAGCGCTGCAGGTACAGCTCCTCTCTCCACCCCGCTGGCTTAATGGGAGCTTCAGACATACATTAAAAGGAAGGTGGAAGCTGGCAGCATAAAGATATAACTGAGATGAAATGCGGGTGAATGCACACATGAAAGGACAGCCAGCTGGTGATGTCTCTGACATTAAGCTGCACTAATATCACGCCCTTTGCAGATGCAATTAGCCCCCTGGTTAGGCTGCGTCGGTGTCGGACGAAGAGCATGCCAGCGTGGCATCTGTCCCCCATCCCTAGCCCTGCCCTCCTCTCTCTCTCTTGCCGTCTCTCCCCCCATCTCAGAAGAGGCCTCCACTTCCTTTCCCCGATTAAAAGGTCAGCTCCTCTTCGCGGTGTAAACATGTTGACCTTTCGGTGTCACCAGCCCTGTCAGTCACAGCCGCAGAGGGGAAGGGGCTGGAGGACAGCCCTGAACTCACCACCCACCTCTGCCGCTCGCCGGGGACGGAGGGGCCGCTCCTCCAGTGCAGGGCGGGGACCGGGCGGGGGCTCATTTCCTGTCCCAGGGTGCAGAGCGGCTTCCTAAAGTGGCCTTACTGAGCTACCTGGGACCTGGTAAAAGCCGTGGCCAATGGGAGGGGCCGTGGGCTGGGATCCCTGAGTGGTGTCAGGAATGCATGTGCTATAAACTCCTGCATAAACTCTGCATGTGCTGTGAGGTGCTCCGGGCGCCATAAAACGCTTATGAACAACATATGTGCCGAGGACTGCTGCAGCAGATACTACAGTATATTTTAAAAAGCACTGGCTCCCTGCACTCCCTACTAACCATAAGCGTTTGTGGTGCAGTGCATTCTCTGTGTGCCAGGGCCACTATTGAGGAACCCAATACCGCCCCCCCCAGAGCGCCAATCGGTCCCTCCCTGGAGCAGCACCTCCCTCAAAAACCACGAACGGAGCAATTTCCAGAGAGTGGAAAAAGTCTCAATTACACCGAAAGCCTTTCTGTAAATCTGCAGCGAGCAGCTGGGCCGTACGTCAGCGTAACGCCTGCTGGCAGCTGCTCAAAGCTGAAGCAGGAGAGCTAGAGCCACCTCTAACCCCAGGGATCTGCTTCCAGGTCACGGGAACACACAGGCAAACACGTGCAGCTATTTAATATGTCCTCTACATGCACTACCAAAACATACTGCATTCACACTCTAAATACACAACCAAAATATACTACATTCATACTCTACCTACACAACCAAAAAATACTTCATTCACACTCTACATACACGAACAAAACATACTACATTCATACACTACCTACACGACCAACACATACTGCATTTACACTTAAACACGTCCAAAACAAAACTACAATCACACTCTACAGTACATACACGATCAAAACAAACATTCACACTCCACATAAATTCCCAAAATACTTAATATACACTTCTCTATATACACTAGCAGAGCATAGTACATTCACACACTAGATAGACTAACTACACACACTGAACAATCCATATACTAATAGCATATCCACACACACATGACATATCAGGTTGCACAGCATGCTATGCACACACATAACACGTGCTGGACAGCCCCCGCTCCGTGTGCCGGGGGCCGCGGTTTCAGCGGGGAGCCAATCAGGCGCTGTCTCGCCATCTCGGTTTGAGATTGCGCCTCTGTACCCTTCAGGACCCCAGAACAATAACATTATTTTCGGAGAAAACCAAACCAATTACCGTGTAGCCGAAAGTTTTAATTAATCCGAAGAGAGGATTTAATTATGCTGATGCTTGATGCTTTTGTGCTCTTTCTTGAGACTATACAGTACCCGTATCTCCCAGCTAACCTAGCCTGACTGGAAAAGCGCATCTATTATTCTATACAATGCTGAGCTGTGCTTGTTACAGCCGACTCCATTGCTGATGACTATATTTAAAGTATATCCTGTGCGACAGGGAAACACAGGATGAAGCACCAGTCTGCACACCCTGCCAGTCCTCTGCAGGCTACACACACACACAGGGGCATAACCCTAATGACCCCTGCCCAGCCCTAACCTTTAACCATAAGTCACCAAATAAAATACAGGACTTTTGGCATTCTTAGTTTTTTGATTGCAGTCACAGATTTTTATAGAATTCAGGTGGACCGAAAAAATATCCCCACAAGGTAAAAATTTACAGGTTTTTATTATGTTGCAGGGAAATCTGGTCCCCACAATGAAATAATAATTAATTATAATGCACATGGACACACCCACACCCACACATTACGGGCAATTTAGAGATAACTGTTAGTTTTTAGTCTGTGTACAGAGACCTGATGCAAACACACACGGCGACATGGACAGGGCATGCAAACCCAGCATACACACACTGCGGGGTGCGACTCAACCCCCCAACACCACCAGGCCACTGTGGCGACCAATAAAAAGCAACCCGGCTGAATAATAAATAAGCGGGAAATTGGAGCCGCTGACTGGCCGGCCTGAGTGCCCGCTCACGCTCGTTGCCCCCAAATTAGCCAGCCTGTTTATTTATCACTCTGGTTCCCCCAGTGGCGTGAGGCTCTGTGACCCATGCTGGCCGTGGCCGCTGTGTACAGGGACGACACCAGACTGCGGGGGGGCGATGCTGGTCACGTGAAGCCTAGTGGGTCAGAGGGGCTGACGGCTGGCTGAGGCCGGTGCTCTGAAGGTAACACGGTGCTTTCAATATTTAACACTCCAGAGTACTTTCAATATTTAACACTCCAGAGTACTTTTAATATTTAACACTCCAGAGACTCAAAATTCAAATACAAGCAAAGGCAAGAATCAACAGAGCTGCTCGTTTGTTTGTCGTGCTGCTGCGTTCCTGATGCGGGTCCAACGCTCCCCTGCAGCCTGGCACTAAAATAGCTGACCTCCAAGCACAAGGGCGCCCTCCCAGTGCCCCCACGTGTCAGCAAGGGGTGTCATCACGGAGCAGACCACGCGTGTGTAAGCATGCGTGTGTGGCCGTGCTGGCTTCTAACTGCCTGTAATGCTAGCGTGTGCCCGGGATATTAGCCATGTGCATTTGTGTGTGCGTGTGCGAGCACATGGGCATGGATGTTTACGTGTGATCTTTCAGCAGGCAGATTGTGAGCAGGCCCGCCTCCCTTCCCAGCTTCCTGCAATAGGCCAGTTGTGTATAAACGAGGTTAAATTCAACAGGGCGGCGCCCCCTGCCTGCTGCACATCTGGCGCACAGATCGCCAAAGCCCGCAGCTGCCAGAAGCCAGGCATGATGCCTGAGCTGGCACAGCCCGCCCCTCCCCCAGGTCAGAGCTTCTGGGCCGGATCGCCTGTGAGCTGGGACACGGGCGAGCGCCAGCCTGGCCCCTGACACCAGGACTTAGAGGTGAAGGCTGGATAAACAGGGAAAATGAGAAACTGGACGCATGTCCACATGGCTGGAAGGCCACTGCTGGGCCAGGTCCACCAGTTCCAGCTGCCTGGTTCAGGAGAGGCATCCGACTAAGGGTCGCATCATACATAGGCTGGACTCTTCTCGTGGAGGATGGAGAAACGTGTGCAGACTAATGGACGGCGGCGGGGGCTGGATGATGTACAGATGGTGGAGAGATGATGAAGACAGAATGGACAGATGACAGAGCAGTGACGGAGAGATGACAGTGAGATGATGGGGAGATGAGAGAGAAGTGACAGAGATGATAGAGAGATGATGGACAGATGATAGAAAAATGTTAGATGGATGATGAGAGATAGCGCCCCCTAAGGGCGGAAGAGCTGCTCTTTCACCTGGCAACTCGCAGCCCAGCACCTCCAGGCGCATGCCGATGCCCCCTGGGGACCACTTCTCGGGGTAGATGCGGATGAACTGGGCAGGGACCTCCTCGAAGCGGCGGATCTCCGGGGTGTCGTAGTGAGTGTTTCCCTCGAAGATCTGCGGCAGGACAGTAAAAATTCAGCAGCCGGGGCCAGATGGGCCGCTCACATGGTGATATTCAGGCCAGCTGCTGTTTTTAAGCACAGTAACTGAACAACAGACAAGGTGACTGTGTTCTCTGTACTCTGAGAGACTGCGTAACTAGCCCAAACCACCAGGAGGGGGTGCAATGGCCTACTGACGATACAGCCAATCTATCCTGTCTGAGGCTTCATCAAGGCTGCAATTAAGCAAACTAATGTAAAAAAGCGAAATATGCACAACTCCCTATTACTAATGCAAGCACTTAATTGCTAATATATATATATATATATATATATATATATATATATTAATATAAGGATATAAATGGATCACAACAAATATTAAATAAAACACCACTTTCTCAGTACGCAGAGTATCACAGGTGGTACCGCGCTCAGGGTAAGAGCCGTAGCCCTCGCCGCCGAGTCGCGCTCAGGGTAAGAGCCGTAGCCCTCGCCGCCAAGCCGTGCTCAGGGTAAGAGCCGTAGCCCTCGCTGCTAGAGCCACGCTCAGGGTAAGAGCCATAGCCCTCGCCGCCGAGCCACGCTCAGGGTAAGAGCCGTAGCCGTCGGCGGCAGAGCCACGCTCAGGGTAAGAGCCATAGCCCTCGCCGCCGAGCCCCGCTCAGGGTAAGAGCCGTAGCCCTCGCCGGCAGAGCCACGCTCAGGGTAAGAGCCATAGCCCTCGCCGCCGAGCCGCGCTCAGGGTAAGAGCCATAGCCCTCGCCGCCGAGCCGCGCTCAGGGTAAGAGCCGTAGCCCTCACCGCCGAGCCGCACTCAGGGTAAGAGCCGTAGCCCTCGCCGCCGAGCCGCGCTCAGGGTAAGAGCCGTAGCCCTCGCCACGCTCACCTTAGGCAGACCGGTCTTGCTGTCGATGATGAGGCTCCAGTCCCTGCCGTTCATGCTGTGAGCCACACGGTACTTCCTGACGAAGGCGCGGTTGTCTGTGCTCGTGCTGCTCTCCCCCCCGCGCGCCCCCTGTGTGATCACGCCACGCACCATCTTCGTCATCCCCAGGTCCACTTGCAACCACTCTGTGCCCGCCACTGGCGACGCCATTTCGGGGAACCAGCCGGAGCGGCTGGCAACGAGCCGGGCCGACCCGGGGGACCAGTGGATATCTCGCGTTGAGGAAGCAGAGATCTGGGACTCTGGGAGCAGGCCGGACATCATGCCCTGCATCTCGGAGCACTGGGCATCTGTTTGGGGGGGAGTCAGAAAGGATGATTAACGTTCCATGGCACTATGTCACGGCACAACCCTAAGCCGTATATGTTTATCCAAATCAGTGATATCCCGAGTCGATAATGAAGATTGGAATCAGGTGTTATTTAATTGATCAGTATCAGCTACCATAGCTGTACCCGAAAGGCTCTGTTGCAGTAAGCCTGAGGCACATGGCTTAAAACTGCAAACTGTCAAGATGTCAGCCATGTGGAAATTCTTTAAACTGGATAGTCAAAGTCACCCAATGGCCACCTTCCATGTCTGCAGTCCCTATCCTATGTCTGCAGGAGGTAGCAACAGAGGGTCTTTTAATACAACAAATCTAATTAGGCACTTGCCGAAACATCATACGGAATAAAACGGGCATCATAAGGAATAAAAGGCTGACTCAGATGAATGCACCACTTCGAGTACATGTGTGTGTGCATATGTATATATGTATGTGTGTGTGTGTATTTAAATATGCATTAAAAGAAAATCCACTGTGGGCATGAGTGTATAGTGTGTCTATGTGTGTGTCTGTGTTTGTGTGCACATGTGCATCAGTCCCAAACATCAAAGTCAGAGACAGAGAGTACCCCCCCCCGACCGCCCGACCCTCCTGCCCCCATGTCCCTTCATTAGCACTCAGGACACAGAGGCATGTCACATGTTGCCCTCAGCTGGAAATACAAGGACACGCATCACTGATATACTGGTGATGCACATGTGCCTTCTGAATGCACGCCTCATGTGACATGCAACACGCATCATATGACATGCAACATGCAGCACATGACATGCAACATGCAGTGCATGCTGTTTGTGGGAAGACGAGGACTACTGCAGGAATGAAAAAGAAGGAATACGAGGAATAAGAGCTAATTCAAGGCCCACCTTCGCTGAGCTGCACTGCGCTGTGGTGTGTGGGCAGGGGCAACAGATGCTCCTGTGGACTCCCCCAGTGACCCGCCCCCTCCTCTGGACTCCCCCAGTGACCCGCCCCCTCCCTGGACTCCCCCAGTGACCCGCCCCCTCCCTGGACTCCCCCAGTGACCCGCCCCCNATATATATATATATATATATATATATATATATATTAATATAAGGATATAAATGGATCACAACAAATATTAAATAAAACACCACTTTCTCAGTACGCAGAGTATCACAGGTGGTACCGCGCTCAGGGTAAGAGCCGTAGCCCTCGCCGCCGAGTCGCGCTCAGGGTAAGAGCCGTAGCCCTCGCCGCCAAGCCGTGCTCAGGGTAAGAGCCGTAGCCCTCGCTGCTAGAGCCACGCTCAGGGTAAGAGCCATAGCCCTCGCCGCCGAGCCACGCTCAGGGTAAGAGCCGTAGCCGTCGGCGGCAGAGCCACGCTCAGGGTAAGAGCCATAGCCCTCGCCGCCGAGCCCCGCTCAGGGTAAGAGCCGTAGCCCTCGCCGGCAGAGCCACGCTCAGGGTAAGAGCCATAGCCCTCGCCGCCGAGCCGCGCTCAGGGTAAGAGCCATAGCCCTCGCCGCCGAGCCGCGCTCAGGGTAAGAGCCGTAGCCCTCACCGCCGAGCCGCACTCAGGGTAAGAGCCGTAGCCCTCGCCGCCGAGCCGCGCTCAGGGTAAGAGCCGTAGCCCTCGCCACGCTCACCTTAGGCAGACCGGTCTTGCTGTCGATGATGAGGCTCCAGTCCCTGCCGTTCATGCTGTGAGCCACACGGTACTTCCTGACGAAGGCGCGGTTGTCTGTGCTCGTGCTGCTCTCCCCCCCGCGCGCCCCCTGTGTGATCACGCCACGCACCATCTTCGTCATCCCCAGGTCCACTTGCAACCACTCTGTGCCCGCCACTGGCGACGCCATTTCGGGGAACCAGCCGGAGCGGCTGGCAACGAGCCGGGCCGACCCGGGGGACCAGTGGATATCTCGCGTTGAGGAAGCAGAGATCTGGGACTCTGGGAGCAGGCCGGACATCATGCCCTGCATCTCGGAGCACTGGGCATCTGTTTGGGGGGGAGTCAGAAAGGATGATTAACGTTCCATGGCACTATGTCACGGCACAACCCTAAGCCGTATATGTTTATCCAAATCAGTGATATCCCGAGTCGATAATGAAGATTGGAATCAGGTGTTATTTAATTGATCAGTATCAGCTACCATAGCTGTACCCGAAAGGCTCTGTTGCAGTAAGCCTGAGGCACATGGCTTAAAACTGCAAACTGTCAAGATGTCAGCCATGTGGAAATTCTTTAAACTGGATAGTCAAAGTCACCCAATGGCCACCTTCCATGTCTGCAGTCCCTATCCTATGTCTGCAGGAGGTAGCAACAGAGGGTCTTTTAATACAACAAATCTAATTAGGCACTTGCCGAAACATCATACGGAATAAAACGGGCATCATAAGGAATAAAAGGCTGACTCAGATGAATGCACCACTTCGAGTACATGTGTGTGTGCATATGTATATATGTATGTGTGTGTGTGTATTTAAATATGCATTAAAAGAAAATCCACTGTGGGCATGAGTGTATAGTGTGTCTATGTGTGTGTCTGTGTTTGTGTGCACATGTGCATCAGTCCCAAACATCAAAGTCAGAGACAGAGAGTACCCCCCCCCGACCGCCCGACCCTCCTGCCCCCATGTCCCTTCATTAGCACTCAGGACACAGAGGCATGTCACATGTTGCCCTCAGCTGGAAATACAAGGACACGCATCACTGATATACTGGTGATGCACATGTGCCTTCTGAATGCACGCCTCATGTGACATGCAACACGCATCATATGACATGCAACATGCAGCACATGACATGCAACATGCAGTGCATGCTGTTTGTGGGAAGACGAGGACTACTGCAGGAATGAAAAAGAAGGAATACGAGGAATAAGAGCTAATTCAAGGCCCACCTTCGCTGAGCTGCACTGCGCTGTGGTGTGTGGGCAGGGGCAACAGATGCTCCTGTGGACTCCCCCAGTGACCCGCCCCCTCCTCTGGACTCCCCCAGTGACCTGCCCCCAGACACGGACACCCCCATGACCCACAAGGGGGGAATCTGTATGTGCCAAGCCGTTTCCACATACGTGAGCATAACCCTGCCCACCTGTGATCAAACAGCCGTACAGCTCGAAGCGCAGGGCGATTCCGTTCTTCCACGTCTGGGGCCGAATCCGGACGAAGCGAGCCAGAACAGGCTGAGGGATGCGGTTCAGCACCACCTCCGTCGGATCTGTGTTGGCGTGGAAAATCTGGAAGGCAAAGAGCAAAAAAGAGACTTGTGAGACCAATAGCTGACTCACCAGGGAAGTCGCCCACCCCCACACCCCCCTGGGCCGTTCCGGTGCCTCTGCGGTCGCCTGTTCGCACACACACACACACACACACACACACACACACACACACACACAGGCGAGCATTAAAGTATGCTGGGCCCAGCTTGAGGGAACCAAAGCAGGAACCAGCCCCCACGCAGACAGAGACAGCATTTGCAGGGCTGCGGGTCTGAGTCTGTTGCTGATGAACAGACACAAGATGACCCCCTCTTCCCTAGATGATGCCAACTGCAGCACAGCAGCACGTCCGAGCAAGGCGGGCAGGCAGGGCAGTGGGCTGCAGATCTCCCGCCCAGCGGCGGCTGCTTCAGCGCAGCGGCATGGGACTGGATTCACTGCTTCTCCTCTTCGAATGCTGTGCAGGTAACGGCAGGGAGGTGGACCCGGCCCGAGCATCCGAAGGCAGTTTTCAGAACATTACCCATCATACATCAGCCGGCAGACAGGAGTGTGCCACCCACCAGGCCCATGTGTGTCGCCCGCAAACAGCAGGTGCCGGTGATGTCGTCACCATGCCAGACTCTAATTCCAGGATTTTTGCCAAAAAGCACAACCATGACTCAGGCAAACACAGGCTCCTAATGCTCCCAGAATGCCGCTCCGTGCATCACGGCACCTTCACATCTTATTGTTGTGATTAATCTGCAGGCGGACGCTTTTACCCAGGTCCACACGCCGCGTAAACATTTACTCTGCTGATGCGTTTAATCCAAATCTGCTGACAGGCCAAGGCCACGGGGATTTCCCTGGAGAAATCAGGGCGAGGACGGCCACTGCAACAGCAAGGTTTTGGACCCGGTCCCAAAGTTTTTTGCTCACAAGGAGGAGAAAATGACAACATAACAACCAAAAAAAATATCCAAGGGTCAGAACCCAAGGAAGACAAGTAATAGGATTGCAAGGTGCAATTATAGAGAGAGACCCTGCGGGGCAATGGAAAAATGAGTCTGATGGGTAATCTCCCACAATGCACTGCACTGAATATAAAAATGTATTAACTTGGCATATGGCAAATGATCAAAATCAGGGGGCTGCAAACACTCAGACTGCAGCACACGATGATGCCGATTGTTTGCATATTTCCCGAATTCTCCGCCCGCAGATGAGCCGACTGACACTCAGAGATCACTAACGGCAAACTCCCACGCCCCGCTGATGGGAGACCTCCTGGCAGGGTTGTCAAAGCTGTGTAGCTGCAATCAACCTGCAAGGCCACGCTCCCTCTGTCCCTGTCATTCCTCTGCTCACCAGCATGCACCTACAGATCTGAAAACCAAGCAAACAGGGGCTGTTTGAAAAAAGCCCAGTTTCTGTCAGCCATTCAGCGTTCAAGCTCATCTAACAAAACTGCATATTCACTCATCCAAATGTTTAAATTCATGTGCAGCTAAGTATTTATGTAAATGCTTATATAACATGTGATATACTGCCGCACGTCTCAATCGATCATTTTTATTTAGTGTCGCACAATCTTAGCAGCAAGATTCAAGCATTTTATGGACTTCAAAGATATAAGAGAAATACCCTGATTGGGCAGAGGCCTGGATATGTGGTCAGCCGTGCCTGGGACCTGACAGCCCACATATGTGAAAATAAACAAAGATGAAAAAGCTGCATGATCTAACGCAGCTGCATGGAAAAGCACAATAAAACATGCAGTGTTTCCTGGATCTTAATGTTTGTAGGAGACTCGGATGTTAACGCTCTGTTTACAAGAACAAAGGCATTTTCACAAAAGCCGGCAGGCCTGGAACCGTCCAGCCAGGACCGGCACATGGAGCCCACCTATAACGCCCCGCGGGCGTGGTGGGACCGTGACAGCCTCCAATCGCATGCTTGTCAAAGAGCCACAGTTCCATGAAGACCACCCCCCCACCCGCACGGCATGCGCGGAGGAGACGGAAAGCAGCTTAGCCTGTCCCTTTACGAGTGCATTCTGGCAGAGGAAATGTGTGCAGTAATCAAAGACACAGGGGCAATCCCTGAGGACCTGCAGGGCGGCGCTGCTGGGTATCACTGCTGTTATTCAGGGCTAAATAGTGGAGAGAATCTGGGGCAGAGCAGAGAGCACATCAGGGTAATATATGAGACAGGCAGCCAGGAAACCGCCACAGACACTCTCTCTTTCTGTCAGGGAAGTGCAAGGCCCGCCCCCAAACATGCCGAGGTTACGCTGCTCCACCAGGAACATTCATTCTGGGGCTGCGGGGGTACAGTGTAGCATGACGGACAGCGGCAGTGAAGGTGACCTCACATGACAGCGGCTCGCTGTGCTGCAGGAATAGGGGCAGGTCTTTCTGCCAGTCATGGGCATCTTATTTACCTTCCTCTGGATACGAGAATGTCCCCCGACTTCACCCACTTCCCAGATCGACAGGGAGAGAAAAACAATGTACTTCCAAGAGGTATAAAAGTTTGATAGCCAGCTAGGCGAATGGGAGAGCAAGGGAGAGCATTATGGGATACATACTGGGAATTAGAGTCCCTGAAACCCACGTTTTTGCTGAATCATGAACGTGGGAATGGCCACGCTGATCGAAATGTCAGCGCTTGGCTCAAATTATGTTTTTTTAAGAGAGATTTAATAAAACACTGGAGTGAAAAACACCCACAGTGCTGGCCAATTGTGAATGGACACAGATGAGACATAACTGGGGACTAATTACAGCCTCTCCAAAACAGCTCTTGTGCACAGCTGAGACAGTCTGGATGTTTACAAACTGATTATACTGGGCTATTAAAGTGAGGGGCCCTGGCCAGGCGGGGGAAATGGGGGCCTCGCAGTGGGCCCAGGTGTGACAAATGCAGGTGTGACGGGCACCAAAATGAAAGGAAGCAGTTGTGGACAGTGGAGGCACAGGTGCAAGGACACCAGGTAAAGTGATCCAGCTACAAGGTGCTGAGGGTCAAGGTGTGAAGCTGCCGGATGCAGATCCAAGGCTGAAGGTGCAGTGAGAAGCATTCAGTCTGCCTGACAACAGGAGCGGCTGAATTATTCAGGCGGTGGTCAGGGGCAGGGGGGCAGTGCCGTGACTCCTCATGTGCAAGTTAATGAAATAATGAAGAACTGTCTTCCAGCTAATGGAGAAACATCACACATGGGCACAAACAGGAAATCAAACAGGCTCCAGCTGCATTCGACTACTTGATCTGTAAAATGTTGAAATTACACAGTACAGCCTTACTGGATGTTTCACTGTTCTGTTGGGGGTTGGAGTGATTAATCCTGAACTAGATTATCAAATCCAGTTGATCTTGGTACAGTTGATTAAACACATTCAGTTACCTCCGCACAGCATGAACTGTGGGGCTCTCCCTGACTGCCACTGGAGTGTTCAATTACTGCACCAAGTCTGTCACGTGACTTTGGACAGGATGTCAGGTGACCGTGGAGGGGGTGTCAGGGTATACGAGACAGAAAGTTACCATCGAGGGAGGCCAATTGTACAGAGCCGGTCGGTTTATTTCAGCGTGATGAACACGATGCTTTGCCGAAAGCTGACAGGACCAGAGGGAGAAGCAGTCAAAAGTCAGGCCTCGGGACAGCAGCCGCACACCTGCTCTCCACCACTGCAATCTCTTCACTGCCTCATCTCTTTCACTGCCACTCATCATCCATCTTTATTTTGTTTGCCCCCCTGTTGTCCCTCCTCAGCTCCCCACAATCGCTCTTTCTGGCTTATCGCCCCTTCTAATCTCCCTCTCGCGTTCTCTCCCTCTCTTCATCCCTCTCTCTCTCCGTTCAGATGAAGACGCTGACTGTGGAAGTTGCTGGAATCTTCCAGCTGGCAGAAATCCATCTCTGTCAAAAGGGGTCATAAATATGAAGCTGTTTTTTTTTTGTTTCGCTTTAGTCAGGGACACGTGTAGGAGAGGCGGGGGTCTGAGAGCCCTGCCCCATGCCCGGCTCACTCCCAGGGTGTCGGCACTGTCCCCGTGCTGCATGTCACTGGGAATGAGGCAGGAAAGCTTCGCAAGCCGCTGTGTCTTTCCGAGCCTGAGCCAGTGTGCTGTCGCGACAACCTCGACTATCTCCTGTACAACTCTGACACATATACTTCCCCTTTAAAAGTGCAGTGTATGAATTAATGGATGCATGCATACATGAGTGCTTCTGCATGTGTGGAAAAAACAAGTGCAACACTGTGTTGTCATAGGCAGTGATACAATGAGATCCAGTCAGAATGTTAAATGAATCTAAAAATTTTAATTATACATTCATTTTTCTGTAACATTCCTCTCCGCTATCCCTCAGATGCAGTTCTCCACACTAAGACACTATGCAATATGCAGTATGTTTCATAATTCAGAAGATCAACAAGCATAGAACAAAGCATTTTACATGTAGACCATCTGCAAATTGCTAGTAATTTTATTTCTCTCTTACTATCATTGTTTGCCTAAAAGGTTTCGCTCAGCAGGGTGAGAAGCCTCCTGTGAAGTCTGACCTGTAGATGCCAACCCAAGCAGCTGTCAGCACGACTGTCCAGAGACAAGTATCCACTCCTCACACCTCCTCAGTGGCCCAACACGGCAATACAGCCGACCCGTGTCCCCGTTACCTCCTCCATGTGAACACAGCAGGCCGGGATAATTATGTCTGAAAGCCACTTCCTAAGCCCCGTGTGTCACACACCTGCTTGGTAAAGATAACATTTAGAGATGTGCAGGGAGAGCACTGCAAGTGAAGACTCCGTCATTTACGCATATCTCTACATCGCTGCCACGTTTACTCTCACATCTCAGAATTAAACTGTCCCTGGCTTCACGTGACATCACATCTGGGCCAGGCTATTACGGGCCCATCAGGAGGTGGGCCAGTCAGCCTGCCCGCGAAGGCTCCATGGTGCTGTAAATCAGAGACGTGTGTGTGCGCGTGGCATTGGGGGGATGGGAGGGGGGCACTGGGTTTGGCTTCCCCTGCTACCACACTGTGCTATTTCCACAAGTATTTTCTTTCCAGTTCCAAAAGGGGCAACATCTGCAGTTGGGAGATCATCCTAAATTACAGAGCTCTCGCTTAACACCTTCTTCAGATGGAGTTTGAGGCAGAGAAAGGGGCAGAGTTGTGGCAGCCGGGGTGGCCCAGGGAATCCATGTCATTCTGGGCGGCCGGATCAGCGGCCCAGGGCACCGTGCAGAACCGGCTCTGGGCGGCGCCCCTGAGTGACGGCCCCCGCAGTGACAGGCCCCGCGTTACGCTCCACCACCGCCGGCGCCACACCGTCTGGCGCTCACACCTGCACCACGGGGCGGTGACCCTCCAGCAGGCTGGGGCTTGCTGTCCCCAGCGGCAGTGAGGAGAGACCGGGGGAGCCTGGGCAGGACTGGACAAACCCAGCGCAAAGGCAAATAACCCTCTGCTCAGGGGGGAGACCATCAGACGCTCAGAGGACTGATGACAGGAAGCACAAGGCGGACAAACACTCATTCGGGAAAAAGGCAGCCAACTGTGCCCTCTAAACACGGAGCTCATGAGAGCAGCGAGCAGAGCAGCTAGCAGAGCAGCTAGCAGAGCAGCAAGGCATATCTGAAAGGCAAGCCTGTCTGGAGGACTGACGCCCAAACATGGGCAGGTGTGATCTGAGCAGACCTTACATTGCGAGGCTGTCCAAATCTGAATAAAGATTAACACAGACGAATAAACGGCTCATAAACACAGGGGCCGCCAGGTGGGTGAGCCTGAAATCTGTCTTACTGTCGGCGTGAAACATATAAAGACTAATACGAGTATAAATATGGAATAAGGCCATAAGCCAGACACTGTCGGTAAGGGACCTAATATTTCCTGCTGTTTTTCCACACCCTTATCAGACTCTCACAGGTTCGGATTTCTTTACTTCTCCCCTGAACCAGTCAGTGATAAGGTAGATTCCCGGGGATTTTCTGATGATAAAAAGATACAGAAGTGTTGTAGCATCCCCCCTGTGATGCTCACTGTGTTGTCTTATGGCAATCTAACTGACCCCATCTTTACATTATGGTTTCCGGTAAGATCTTGACTGCACCGCTTTTATGCTCTCTCTGCCTCTGCTGCTTCTTCCGGGCCTTGCAGAAGAGGACTGTGGGAAATTCTGTTCACTGTCCGAGCTCCAGTGGGGCCCTAAAAAGCCGTCTGACTAATGCGTGCCCCTGTCTCTAGTTTCTAAGCTGGGTATGGAAGCAAGTGCATTGAACCCAACTGGGAAATGTTGTGTGGTCATACTGCTGGAGCTGAGCACGATGAAGCCCCCATAGGGGAGATGACTGTGGGGCCCTGGTCCCTGACCCAAAGGGCCGCTGGGCCCAATGCCCATGCCGGTCCCCCACGTCAGGCCCACTGACAGACTCTCACGCTGCCTGTGCTCAAAGAGCCACACTGTATTTATCACAGCAGGAGGACAGCAGCATGCTCTCATAAGGCAACAAACCGCCATTGTGTATTTGGTAGGTAACTGTCAATTCCCAGATTCCCACAATGCATTGCTATCTCGCAAGAGTCTGCCAAAGAACACAATGCCGAAAGCTAAGATGCCCAAGCCGCACTGGCCGTGTTTATATGTGGAAAGTGCCCTTGGAGGGTCCTGTCTCCCCAGGCCCTACCTTCTGGTTTTTGCCATGCCGGTAGATCATCCAGTCTTCCCCGTTGGTGCTGACCTCCAACTTGAATGTGGTGACAAAGTAGGACCTCTGTGTGTCCTTGGAGACGGCGCCCTGCGTGGCGATGCCGGTCAGAACCCTCAGGAAGCTCAGGTCCACCTGCCGCAAGGAGGACAGCAGTAATGACTTTCGTAATCTTTTTCTCAACTTTGATCAAGAAAGTGTTGCCAGACTTCACCCCCCCCCCCCCCCTGCCAGAACACACTGGAAATCAATAACAAAGACGGTGATCTCGCTGATCTCTCTATTCCACTCCTGGGGGGTCTCTTGAAGGTGCAAGGTGACAGAGGCTAGTAAGCATCTTGATGGCAGCTCTCACTCCATAATCCCACCATGCCTGGAGTGTCACATTAACATAAAAGAATAAAACAACGGGGAAGAGCACATGTCCCCCCTCGTCCGTCTCAGAGACAGCCCCCCCCAGAGTCACTGCTGCCGAGAGCAGAGATGCACCTAGACACAGAAATCAATAACGCAGAGCGCTGCTGCTAACTATTTATTACCTGGGAAGCAGCCTCATCCATCACCTGGCCGTTAGTGTCAGCGGCACCGTGCCCCGCCGCCCCGCGCCATAACGCCTGCCAGCTCAGAGCCAATCGGCTGCCTGCCCGTGGCCGCACGCGGCACAGTGTTCACCAGAGGGATTTTACATCCCTGCCACTGTGGAAAGGCCCGAGAGAGTCGGGGATACAGAGGGCAGGTGAGCATCCTCACAGGGATCACGAGATACTCGGGGCTCTCTGACAGAGAATGATAAAGCTGCTCTGCTAAAGATGTGAGCTTCCTGCTGATGCCTGACAGTACAGCTCAGGCGCCTTCAGACACAGACACACACATGCACACTCACACACATGCACCCTCACTCACTCACACGCACCTTCACATGCACCCTCACTCACAGACACATTCACAAACATACACTCACACACACGTACACTCATTCATTCACTCACTCACACCCTCGCTCACTTACACACTCATTCACACACACACACTCACTCATACGCACGCTCACACATGCACACTCACACTCAGTCATTCATTCATTCATTCATTCATTCACTCACTCACACTCTCACTGACTCTCATACATTCCACTCACACACATGCATATTCACTCACTCATTCTTTCAATCACTCACATGCACACCCTCACTCTCACACTCAACTCACATTCACTCATGCTCATTCTCTCTCACTCATTCAGACTTTCACTCACACTCTCATTCACTCTCACTCTCACACAATGCCACACTCACAATCACTCACTCATGCACTCACTGATTCACTCACTCACTCACCCACTCATTCACTCACTCACACTGACTAGTGGACAGTTCATGTGGACACTAAGAGAGCATGCTAGCATTTATAGAAGCTCCTTGGAGGGGGGCAGGGTACTCGAGATTGGCAACACATTACAGCATGTGGGACTCCAGGGGTCTGAGCCCAGGGAATAAGGCGCCTCTAGTGAGTTCAGCATGCAGGACCCTTGTGGCTGCCAAGCCACCCCAGATACAGGCTCCTTCTCTCTCAGCCACCTGGAATCCTAAGAGGTTCCATTTCTCTCAGAGGTTCCTATGCACCACTCACAACATGCCTTTGGCTGTGACGGAGGCCCACCTGGATGTACTCCTTGATGTTGTCCTCGCTGGGTGTCCAGCCATTGTCGTCGTTGTTGAGTCGCGCCTGCTGGGGGGTCCAGCGGCCATCGCTGAAGGAGGACGAGGCTGTGATCTGGCTGTCTGAGATCTTCCTGGACTCCATGCCAAAGGGACTGCTGCAGTGGAATGCTGGGATACAAGGGAGGGGGGACAGTCACAAAGATCCCCACAGGAGGTGCCGGTGGGGGGCAGCGGCGGATGACGACACTCACTGTCACTGACTTCCTTAGGCGTCATGTTATACCGGGCAGAGAAGCCATCCTTTGCCACAGCCATGTCCGTGTGGAAGGTCAGCGAGAGGATCCCCGTGGACGACGTGATCTCGGGAGGGGCCTTCGTCCCGCAGTAACGCCCGATCAGGGGCCCCACTACAGACATACATGACATACGAGAACTCAGAGCATGGGCCGCAGTCTGCCAGAACTCAGAGCATGGAGCCGCGGTGTCAGAACATGGGCCGCGGTACTCCAGAACTCGGAGCATAGGTTGCGGCCTGCCAGAGCTGAGAGCATGGGCAAGGAGAAAGGAGTGAGACACACCTTCCAGTTCTCAACATGCTCAGCACAAGCAGCTTCAACCTGCTTCAGCCCAGTTGTGAAACATACAAGGCAACCCTGGAGTGGGGCATCTACAGAACCTGAGAGTGGGGCATCTACAGAACCTGAGAGTGGGGCATCTACAGAACCTGAGAGTGGGGCATCTACAGAACCTGGGAGTGGGGTATTTACAGAACCTGAGAGTGGGGCATCTACAGAACCTGGCAGTGGGGTAACCTGGGAGTAGGGCATCTACAGAACCTGAGAGTGGGGCATCTACAGAACCTGGGAGTGGGGTATTTACAGAACCTGAGAGTGGGGCATCTACAGAACCTGGGAGTGGGGCATCTACAGAATCTGGGAGTAGGGCATGTTCTCCAGGTAAGATCACATGACAATGGACTTGGCTTAACAAGGGGTGATTGGCTTCCTGTTACATCCTATTCTTGGGATTAGAAACACTTTGATTCAGTTTCCTATGTCCCCTTTCTTGACCTTGATTTAATGGCCCGTCCACATCGACATGTGTGAGCCCCATGTCTCCGGCTGCAGTTTTGACTGCCTGGCATCAGGAGGCCCTGGACTCCAGGGTCATAAATTCTCCTGCTGCTCGCAAACATCACAGACACAGGAATCGAGGGCGTTAAAGGAGCCATGAAATAAGTAGGAATCGATCGTGGCCATTGATTTTTCTTTTGAGGAGAAGTGGATGCTTCAAAGAGGCTCTTGAGCAAATGGCAGAAATAAGTCTCTTTATCGACACCAGGGATGGTTAGCATATCAAGAGTAAGTGGCCGGGAAACTGTGGACACTCTGTGGAGCACCTTCTGCACCCCGGCCGCTGGTCTCTGACCACAGTGTTACGTTTCCACAACGCAGGGCAACGCCACTGAAGACATCCGCTGAAGTGCTGGGTAATAAAGGGGGTCGTCCTCTCAAAGTGGTTTATAATCCCTCAAAATTATAATCAGCCCAACACCCAAAGAAGACAAGATGTTCTGGGTTTGCCTCCGTATGAGTTGAGTCCTAGAGCACATTCATTCACGCCAGTGTGTACTGTCTAAATGGAGGCTAATGCTCCTGCCCCAACACCTGACCCTCCGCCCACACACAAGCACGCAGACGCATGCACCACTCCAGGCTAAGATCCCGGCCTACTGTTCTTTTAGCTTAACGCTAACAGAGCACACAGAATCAGCGATGAGAACAACCATGAGACACCATCTAGCCACGATGGTGTCTCATGATGGGGGGGGGGGGGGGGTCTGTCAGTCCGTCACACAGATGCACAGCTGAGATGTCGCCTCTTAAGGTGGCCGTATACTTTTAAATGACATCCAGACGTAATTGAACACGTCAGCGAGAACAATCTGTCGCATGCTTTACGCTGCCACCTTGTTCGTTCGCTGTCGTGCCACAACCCTAGAGGGCACAGAATGTTTCCGATGCGGCAGACCCACGTACAGAGTGCAAATAAATGACATAATACACATATTGTGGCGAGTATGTCAGTCACGTCAATAAAGGAGGTGGCAGCTCTTTTAAAATGGAAGTCGCTCCCTTTATTAACCCCCACTATTGGTTTAATGCTAGAAGCGGCACAGACAAGGAAGTCAACAATTTAAACAGCATTTGGTTACATGCTGACACATGAATTCCACAACAAACATTACATGGATATGACATCTACTATTATTAGAAATACACATAATAGTTTACAGATACGCATGGTGCGGTGCAAAATGTGCCGGTAACTAAATAATTAGTTCCACTGACCAGCCCCGCAGTGTCACATTTATGTCAGCCAATCGTGGACAGTGGGTGGGATCAGAACAAATGAAAAAGGTGGCCTCAGGGACAATGTGCAGGCGGTGCAGTGCCATGGCGATTACCGCGGTGATTACAGCTCATGTGATGTCGTACTTCTAAAATGACATTGATTCTGACGATTTTGTCGAAAGTGTACGGCCACCTTAAGTTCTAAAGATGCCGGTAAAACACTGAGCAGGCATGGATCTCTCACGGGGATCCCACTGCCCGGAACTCACCCTGCGGCAGGCCATCCCACACCTCCAGCCAGTCATATTTGCACTCCGCCTCCACCGTGAGCAGAGGGTCATTCTCCAGGTCGAAGGTCAGGAATGTCAGGGTGACTTCCAGGCGGGGCGGTACGATGATGATGAAGGTGCACTCCAAGTTGTGGGGGTACTTGTCCGGGTAGCCTGGGGACTCGATCACGCCCCATGGACTTGTGAAGTTCTGGGAGCAGTCCGAGCCTGCAACAACCCAACAGCACCCCCGGCACGGGGTGAGGCCACTATTAGTCTACGCAGCTCTGTGTGTGCGGCTCTAAGAAGATGATGGAGTTTGTGACACCCCTCCCAGGTCCCAGGCATCTCAATCTAAGACACTGTCCTCGGGGATCCCCCTAATGTGCCCCGTCTGACAGGGAGCTAGGAGGCACCAAGAACCTGGACTGTCTGGGGTCCTTGAGGACCAGATTGAAAAACACTGCTCTAAGGAACCCTGTGCTGAAAGGATCCTTCACCAGGAGAAGATGCCTGAGCATCGACACTTGCACAGAGATGACTGACCCAGACCGGGGATCTTAGGCCAAAAGACAGGATGGCATCTGACTACTAACAACAAAACACTGTAAAGTCTGTCTTTCTTAGGAAACGGGGCATCACACTTGCGCCTCTTACTAGACAAACTAACAGGGTGAGATGGTGTCAGGAGGTAGGTTTCTGGCACGTTCCGTACCCAGGCCGCCTGTGCTCCTGTGCTCTAATTCATATTTCAAACTTCTGCTCGCGTGAGCCAGATGGGCTCCTCAGGAGAGCGGGATAAAGTAGGACACGTTCGGCAAACAGCCTCGAAATCCCCAGCTCCTGTGTGGGGTGGGGGGGAGCCTGATGAAATAAGAATCCTGGTGTCTTTGCTCCGCCACAACTCAGGAAGCATTCAGTGTATGCCGTGTTTATCCTGCACGCATGCACAAATATCACGCTGCCCAAACAAACCCTCTGCCACACGCCAATCCGGGGACAGTAACAGCTTCAGGAAAAGGGGGCATCAAGTCTGTTTATCACTTACAACAGAGCACCACCAGCGTCACCTACCCCATCTGCTTCAAAGCACACACTCCCAGGAACACACACACATGCAATTTCTCACAGACTCATACACACCTAGGCACTAGTCGGAAATGGACGCATGTGGGAGTGCATGCAAGCGCATGCCCCCGCATGCAAGCCCTTACACTCAGGCACTCCAGCAGATTAACAGGGACGGTGTTTACAAAGAGGGACAGTTCAGAGATGGAGAAAAAAGGACAGAAGGAGGCGAGCAAGAGGGAAAGGGGCTTGTTGACAAGGGCTGGAGTGTATGAGTGCGTGAAGGGCAGCATTAGGTATGAGAAAACAGCCAGTAATCTGGGGCTCTTAACTCTTAAATAACTGTGATGTCTCAACTATTTATACTCCACCTCACAGCTGAGGCCCTGTGCAGGCCTCGCGCTCTCACTCACATAGGGAGGCAGGCAGGCTGCCCGCTGGCCCCCCATGGCCAGAAATATGGGGGCGGGGGGGGGGGGTGATGAGTTCTCCGTGTGTCCTCCTCTCGCCTTCCGTTAGTGACATCCACCCTCATCAAGCGGCACAGAGCTGATTTCTGCGAACTCTATAAGTGGAAGACGCCTCACAGGCCCCAGGCCCCGTCTCTGGGGGGGGCTGACCTCAGGAGATACGTTCCAAGGCAGAGCTGCACTGGGGCAGGAAGGGGGGGGGGCTTACCTCGCCCTCAGCCCTCGCATGCAGCTGTAAATAAGCGTCGAGATGAGACTGCCTACGCGACGTGGCTCTTAGCTTAGCTGCGGCTAGCAGGGTGATCAGCCTGCTTTTGACGGGCTCACGACTGGCCTATGGTCACCCCTCCGGGCAAGGCAGGCAGTCTCCATTTGCAAAAAATGGTAAAAACAGAAAGATGCTTTGAATAATAAATAATATTAGTGCGATGCCCGTCACCCAAACTGCATGCAGCACAGCTAGGCTGTAGGGTCTGTTATGTCTGCAGTCTGTGAGTTTTGTGAGGTCTGTGTGGTCTATGTGGACTGTGTTGTCCATGTGGTCTATATGCTTTCTGTGTGGTCTGTGCAGACTGTGCTGTCTGTGCAAACTGTGCTGTCTATGCAGATGGTTCTGTCTGTGCGATCTATGCAGACTTTTCGATTTGTGTGGTCTATACAGATGGTGCTATTTGTGTGGTCTATGCAGACTGTGCTGTCAGTACAGTCTATGCAGACTGTGCTATCTGTGCAGACTGTGCTGTCAGTGCGGTCTGCAAGGTCTGTGCCAGCTCAGGCAGTCTGACCCCTGGACCCCACAGGCTGATAATCTGCAGCCTTCTCATCAGTTCACATGGATCACATGAAAATGCCAAAAAAAAAAGTTCCAGAGTTGCTCCTGCAGAAGAGCAGATCTCCGCCCCTGGGGCCGGCACACCCGATCCGCACATGCCCAGCACGCATTTGGAGAGGGGTGGCCTCTCAGGGGAGAGTTATGAGGATGCTGCTATATACTGGATGTGGGAGGTCTGGACGGTGTGAGGAGGCTGCTCTGTGTGCACACCGACACGATGCTACAGTACTACCAGTCTGCCTCTCTCCGCAGCACTAAGTATCAGTGTTTAACAACTTGGAAAATTGGGAGAATGGGGGGAAAAAACACCCCAGCCTTTTCACATTAACGCTATTAATACGCAGTGCATAAAGTGCACAAAGATCACGCCCTGCTTGTGACAAGAAGGGGCGGAGCCTGAATTAACATCTAATCTGCTCTTCTCAGGTTCCAGAATGAAGCTTAAAGGAAAGCCCCTCCGGAATGCGCCGGAACAGCAGCAGCTGAGGGGCATGCAGGGGGCTTGTCCTACTCCAAGCTCTGTTGCTCCACAAGTCACCCCACAGTCGCCATGGCAACAGCATCAGAGGTAGGTGACGGGCAGGCGTGGTCGAGGGGTAAACTAAAGCATGACTAAACTGGAAGGATCCCGGTAATGAGGACAAATAAAGCAACGTGGCAAGTGCTCTCTGCACAGGCAGCTCCCCTTTTCCTTTAGCCCCCCCCCCCCCCCAAGACGACAGGGAAATGCACACTGCACATGCACACTGCACTGACTAAGAGTGCAGGGGGATGGGTGTCCTTAACTCCACTCTGCTCCCTGGCCCAAGACACCTCTGGATGGGTTCCCCGGAGCTAGGGGGTAGGAGGTATGAGCGCAAGCATGCACTCAAATGGCAGGGATGGATCAGAGAGCAATCCACTCTGGTGAAGGGGCCCAAAAATATCATCTCCAAAGCCATCCCGGGGTGCAGTGGAGTTTAGCAAAGCATCTTGATTTCCTGTCAGAGAGGAAGGGCAGGAACTGATGCAACCCCCCCATCCAGGGCGGCCACTCTGCACTGTGTATTTGTATAAGATCCAATCACAGGGCGAGAGCACGGCAAGCTGTCTGCTCTCGCCACACAGGCGGCCAGAGCACCAGTGTAAATAAACACGCGTCCCTGGGGAGGCTCGCTTTCTGGCTCTGCTTGGCTTTCTTCCACCCCGTACTTGTAAACAGTGGTTTTCGGAAATATTTGACAAGAGTGTGACATGCTAAAACAAACAGCGGCGCCTTTGTGCGTCAGTGGGGAAGACGTGGAAGTGGCCCCGGCGTGAGGACATGCTCATGTAGACGCCGCTTGCAGTGCGGACTGAGTGCAGTGCAGTATTACTGACGCCATGGTAACCACATTCACAGGGCACCTGATCTCAGCGCTAGTCAGAATCAGACTGTTTATTGTGGCTTATCCTGGAGGCCACGTCACACCTGCTGCAGCGGCCCTGGGGACTCATCTGGCTATTAGTGAGATCACCATCCCTGAGATGCAGGAGAAGCCCTCCTCCATCATCCAGCGCCCTACAGTGCCTCTTTCACCCCTTTGTCCCTGAGCCACAAGGGTGACATGCTGTAGGCTGACTCTTAGCATGCTTGCTCAGTAAAATCTGTCTAGTGCACTCGGGGAAAACGTTTTTGATGCACCAATCAGTGATGCCCTGGGGGGGCAGCAGTACCAAATGCAGGAAGTATTCTGTCCTGTTTATTCCTGGGCACTAGCAGCTTTCACCTTTACAGCCTAGACAGAAACCCTCACCAGCAACCAAATAAACATGGATGCCTCCCAGAATGCATCTTGGATAAAAACCCCAACAGAATGCTAACAACCCTGATCAAGGGAAACCTCCAGTGAGACTTGAAATTACAGCCTTCGGTTTGGTCAGGAAGCTCCCTCATCAAAGAATTTCATACTTTAACCCTTACCTATCTTTAAGATCTCATAGCGCAGTGAGAATCCTGCTCCCTGGTGGGCGTAGTCCGAGACAAACTTAATGTGCACCACAGGTCCAGACGAGATGAGGGAGGGCGGGGCGATGTTGCTGCAGTGCTTCCCCAGAAGATCTGCTGACTCCGAGTTGCCGTCCCGGATCTCGATGAAGTCATATCTGTGCCGGGACAGATGGGCAAAGGGTCAGCAGAGGGCAGCAGTGCAGCAGGTGGGATCAATCCGTCCAAATCAAAGCTGGTGTGACCTTTGACCCATGCTGACCTTCAGCGCTTGCACAACAAACATTAGATTCATTCCTGTCAGCTCTGATGGGATTTGGAACCAAGACCAAAGACACCTGCCTCTCCCAAATTACCGCTGCTACATTTTACCCAAAAGTAACCCACCGCAAAGCTCTGCGGCTCCCAGTCCGGGCCAGGTCCCGGTCCCCGTTTGACTGCGTAAACTTCAGTCTGCGTTTGATGGGACTTTACGCTGTTTACAGCACTGCATGAAGGGTGTGTTTTCCTACAGGACAATATTACGGAAGTACTCCTCGACATGCTTCTCTGCTTTCTGCCGGCATGCCCAGCTCTGATGTTTACTGCATGGCTGGAGTGCCGCTCCAGAGCAGAGTCACAGGTGGTGCTCTACTGCGCCCAGGTTCGGATAAGTCTGGCATGATAAGGAAGGCCTGTGCCGTACACCGGGCTTGCTGGAAGGCATTCTGCAAAGCCTGTCTGCGCCACACAGCTCGTGGCTTGCCGTCGCCACGGTAATGAGCGCGGCTCTTCTCCTTGTGTCTGTTTTCACATCATCAACAGCGTTGCCTGGGGAGGATTATGCACAATGAGGCCATGGTCAGACAGAGAGTGAGTCTGATCTCAATTAACTTTGATATAAACACTTAGGTTACGTGCATCTACAATTTCTCACCTGACTGAAACTGATGGCATTTTTTTTTCAGAAAACAAAACAGCGACAAAAAGGGTGGAAACACGGGTTCAAAAGAACCGCACCCCTTACTGGCAGCGAGCAGGGAACGGTGTCGCACTGCTTTCCTGATGTTCTTTAAAAGCTGGCAGAGGAAGGACAATAACAGACACAGGCCTACAGTTTACTGAGGCAAATGAACAGACAATGGAATGCAGAGGGCCAGCAACAGCACTCCACTGTCACGCTAATAAAGCCAATTTCAGCTACATTTGGGCAGCAGACACGGGACTCAGAGCCAAACAGAGATGCCGGATGGGATATTTAAGTGGCAGGATATGCATTTTGTGCCTTGCTGTGATGTTTTGATGAAAGTCACATGGATATGAACACACAGCACTATCGGGCCCAAAGGCAGGACCCAGATGGGGGGTAGCAGCCCTGGGCTCAGACAAAAAGCAACAGAACCGAGGTCGGTGCTCACATAACTGCCAGCACCACGTCACTCTGGGAGCTGGGGGAGGGGGTTACGGAAGGTCACAGAGGGGCCACTATGCTCCAGCAAGATGGACTCCAGCAGATGCCCCTTGGCTGGGTGTTGATAAACAGGGTCACTGAGTAGGTAGCTGATAGAGCAGAGCACTACAGTGCTCCCCAGCCAGATGATACGTTCCCTGCTACCTCCCTGCTCAGCGGCGCCGCCCTGTTGGGTCAGTGGTCAGGGCTGCAACTGGGGGGGTTTGGGAGCAGGATCAGATGGCCACACGCTCTGCTTGATCTGCATTCTCCCCATTAATCCAGATTCTGTCTATGGAACAATGGAGGTGTCCTTGCAGGGCCCAGACAACAGGCGGGCACCGTGCTCGGTATCCATGGCTGCCGCTGGCACATGCCAGCCTGGGCAGCACGAGCAAAAACCTCCAGGCTGAATCCGAAAGGTGCTTGAGTTTTAATTGATTTCTTTGTGGCCTGTGGGCTGCTGTGGATTGGAGGTGAAGTGCCGGCGATGGAGGATCGATGTTAGTGTATCTCCATCAACTTCCCGGCGATGAGACAGAGACTAGCCAGGATGGGTCTGGGTTCAACTCCCTCTGTCTCCCTCCTCCTGCAGAACAGTGTGTCTGGTATGGCAGCACAGAGAAGGTAGCAGATCTGGGGAGTCCATGCACCAGGGAGATCAAACTATTTATTCAGCAAGGAAATTTCTGGTCGATACCGATAGCTGATTATTTTGAAAACTGACACCGATACAATATTGATTGTTTGGGAGGTTCTGCTTAAATACGTTTAAAGGCATACACTACCCAAACTAATTAAAAAATAAAAAAATACATTCCTAAATTATGAAAAGGTATTTTTGGTAGGAAAACGCTGACATACGACAGTTCCAGAGCACTAGTGATGGACAAAATGACGCTTCATGAAGCATTTCAAACAATAACCCCTCCATCCTTTCTCCTCTCCACCTGCCGCTTGCAGCATGCCATCAGCTCGCCTCCATTCAGGTGAAGTGCTCATAAATTTCCATTTATTATTTAATTTCATGTTTATTGTTTTTGTATGTGTGCTTTTTTATGAGTGTATTAGTTTTATATTGATTATTAGTGCTTTTTATTATTAGTTAGGTAGGTAGAGGTCTGGAACGGACATTATTTCTAATGGGGAAATTCAACTTGGACCCCGACCAAACCACAACTCAACCAGGATTCTGAAATGAATTCATGTTCCAAGCAACTACTGTATTTATACATTTGCACACATCTTTGAATTTATAACATTTATAACAGAGAAGGGCTGATCATCAAGTGTGATAAACACCGTCATTTTCCAAGTAATATCTTTTGATTTTGCGCTGTCCGCATTGAACTTTATTTTGCTATCAAATGCTTGCCGTACTGACAGATTAGCGTTATTCAGCAGTACTGCAGCCTTCCTTATTAGAATGGATTTGTTTCTCGAAAACTCTTCATACTCTTCACTCTCTCGCCTTCAGGTGAGCAATCAAATTTGTGTTGAAATGGTTCAGCAGACCCTCCGCGTGAAATTTTAGCAGAGCAATATTTGCAAAATGCATTTCTAATGACGTTTAAATAATTCCACACTGCAGACATTTTTCTAACCATTTAGTATGCAGGTTTGCAGAGCAATATGGGTCATCATTTTAAAGGGAATTATCGGCAGTAAAGATCGGCTCATTTTTATTCATTGGCCAATGACTGATTGTTGCTATATCAGCCGATACAAGATAGTTGGCTGATAGAATCGGTACATCTGTAGAATAAACCCATCCTCAGATGCCTGTGACACACTGCAATGACTGTCGCACAGAGCATCCACTGATGGGGCCCTGGCAGCTTCGTATTCGGCACAGCAAAGGCAGACGAGGTCACGGCCCACCTCCATGACGGTAGGGCTGGCTTTAGGCGCGTGATTACCCTGCTGTAAACGCCCAGAATGACAGCCAGGTGCCTGATTTTAATTAAAGCACAGCCCGTCCTGCTAAGGTAAGTTCTTTTACCTCTCATCAGCGCTGATATTTATCTCTTAGCCTGCGCACATCTTAGGGGATCGACTGTGTCTCTGTCAAAGTAAAGCATGTTGTTAGTGATGTCAGGGGGCCTTTTCGGCAGCAGGACCGAGGCCAAGGTCCCTGTGGTGCCGGAGAGGCTCTGCCTGTGCGTTTCGGTCAGCACAGGCAGCCGGCCATGCGCATGCTTCCAGCCAGGATTCCCGGTGCTATAGAAACGACAGCGTCTGCCCTGGGGATGGCTAGTGACCATCTAAGTGCCTCTGAAATATTGAGCAGACGTTGGAATGAATCCCCAAATGACTGACACAGCTGCCGCTTACAATCCTTCCCGAAAACAAATGCCCACCTTCCACAGCCCGTAGGCAGAAGCCATCACAGGAGAGGTATAGACTGTGGTTTGAGTCCTTTACTAGGGGTATTAACCCAGGGATCTAATGGCTTTCAAATCCTTCCTCTCATGCTATTGTTTCCTGAGGAAAATATCTATTACTAGGGCTGTAACTGACTGGCCACAAGGGGATTTGATTCGATCATGATTATTGAGGGAACAACTCAATTCATCAATAATCGTTAATCTTTTATCATGGCTGGATTTGATTAATCGATAATTTTGATAACCTAAATTCAAACATTTTTATAACTTTGCTGGAAAAAAAAATGGCAAATATTACCATGGAAACTTAATTACGCACTATTAAAGTAATACAAAAAAAACTGAATCTCGGAACATTAATCTTTACTGCCATTATGACAAGAAAATGGCTGATCGGCCACTGCAATCATCTCCCCTATTTCAGTAACTGCGTCTATAGCACTTGGGCTACTAACTTCATATATTAATATAGATTAAATATTTTATCCCGCAAAATCGATTTTGATCAAAGCATTGATGCATCAATGCATCTTTTTCCCAATATTGAAGGTATTTTATCCTCAAGTCCAGGTTTTGTTTATAATGACAAATTTCAGCTGCAAAACCTGTTTCACCACTAAAACAAAGCTAAGTGCAACAGTGACAGATTATAAAATACAAAGCTCATGGCAAACTTTGGACGTGTCCTTCAGAACCTGTAGATGAATGAAAACCAAAGAGTGAATTAGAGTAACTCCTAGCCACATGGAGGCTATGCCTATGAATCCTGCCTGACAGCTGTTGAGGGCGATGAAGAAGGGCCTGCTCATCCCAGACAGGGAGTGACCTGCAGGCAGAAGCCATGGCCAGGATAGCAGCTGAGGTGGGGCGGAGGATGGGGGGGGGGGGGGGGGGGTGTGGTTAGCTACAGAACGAGACATCCAAAGCAACAAATATAACACAGATATAAAAAAAGAAGGACAAATTTAAACCATGCCAGTGTCAAAAAGATTCTAGAGGGGGACTTTCAATGCCAGATAAAATATGGTAGATCTTGTGGCAGAAACCCATACTAGGATCTTCACAGGCCCAGGAGATGAGACAGACACATGGGTGGCACCCAGAGGACGGGGCCTCTGTGCAGGAAGCTGGGATCCCGAATTTCCAAAGTGCCCCGTCACCACGCTGCAGGCCTCTGTCTGAGCAGCCTGTACTGCATGGATCACGGCCATCGACAAAACCTACCTCTTTACAATAGAACTGCACAGACTGCTATGGTCAGCCCTACGTAACATATACAAACCTAACTGCTCATACTGCAAGTGGCTCTGTTAGACTCGACAGTGAGTACCAGCAATTAGCATGTGACAGATGAAGGTGTTCATCACTGTTAACCAGTCAGTCAGTCATGCTGCACAGATGGGATGCTGTCTCGACTGCGCTACCCCCGCGGGCTCTCTAATGTGATTGGCGACATAAGACAGAGTTAGTCACGGACACAGGGGAATTGGGTGGGGGGGCTGACCCAGATCCCAGAGACTGTGTTACCTTGTGTTACCTTCCACTGGATATATGAAAAAATTAGCTTGTGTGGGCAATTCTAACTAGTGGCAGGTGGCACCGTAAGATAAATTTTCATATTATAAAGTAATCCCTTGTTTTTTTGGCTAATCACCACCCTCCCAACCACAGGACTGCCCCCCCCCCCATGTGCAGTCCCTTAAGTGACCAGCAGAGGATGTCAAAAGCCAACTCCCAACAACCTGGAATCAACAGCTGATCAAAAAAAGATGCGATGCAAATATGCAAATGTACTCTTCACAAAACATGCTAACGAATGCTTGAAAGCCTAATTACTATTTGCAAACCTGAAGCTGAACCGTAAGTTGAACAACAGCTTTTATTTACACTATCGATCTTGTCGGCAGGGAAAACAAGCTACCTTTAGGGGCAGCATTTATATTCAGAAACACTCCATGAAGAGTAATAGATCTGCAACGCTGCAGCTTAGAAAGAGCTGTATCCTGTGATTAGGGAAACTCAGGCAGAACACAGGTTCCTCCGGTCTGGCTGCTGCTGAAGCTCAGCTCCTCGCTTCCCATGCAGCCCATCCACGTTCGAACCCGCAGCTCCGGCTGGAAGAGTGAGCCGCCTGTCCCTTACCTGCAGTCCAGTCTCTCCAGCTCAAAGTGGGGGTTGAAATTGAGCGTGATGCGCTGGGAGGGCTCAGGCGCCGTGATCACCCAGCGGCAGCTCTGGTGGGGTGGGTACTCGTGTGGGTACCCTGGCGACGTGATGTAGCCGGGCACGCTGGCGTCCAGGTGGCCTCCACAAGGCTCTGCTCAAGAGAGAGAGAGAGAGAGAGAGAGAGATCGCTCATAAAAACCTGAATGCATCCGAAAACAGCTTGGGTAGCCATCAGGGCACAGAAGCAGCAGGATTACTTCCTGATGCATGCGGACCTTTCCCTTAGAGCTAGTCTTCGAGCAAAAACCTTGACAATGAGGTTGGATGCCAATGGAGCCTCCTCCCCAAGAATGACATTTAATGGGTGCTGTGGAGCTATCTCTGCTAGCCAACAGTCTGTAAACATTAGGACACATTTTCAGATTTTATCTCGCTTTCGCCGGAATAATAACTCCCCCAGCAAGGAGCCGCCGCGTTTGACACAGGAAGTGACACACACATTGTGTCTGAAGGTTCAGAGGTCACCGCAGTGCTGTGAGAAGATTTCCTCCTTCACAAAGCAGCCATTCTGCCCCCCCCCCCACCCCCCACCAACGCCACTCTGCAGCCACTTCAGCCCACATAGTGGAACATAAAATTTACTTCAGTCATACGGTGGATTTGTATGAATTTTCATCATGACAACAGCCCTGAGAAGTTTAACCATATGCATGCCAGACTAAGACATGGTACATCAAAGATATTTAATTTTAAACCAAAACATCAGAGCACTAAAATACTATTAACACAAATCCCCTCCGCCAAATGGCGTGTATTTATCACTTTGACTTCTGCAAAGCTAACTGCCAGAAAGAATTCTGCTGCAAAAATAAAAAGAAATTATTACCGTGAACCTCTCCTCCCACACGGAATACTTGACACGCAAACAAACAAACACACACATAGACACGCGCAAAGCTCTGGTCGCTTCTGTACCACCTGCAGTGGAACAGCAGGGAATGATGGGAAACGTTTCACAGGAAGTGAGAGCCATGATTGACAGTTTGGGGTCTGTGGCTGGCTTCCACAAGGAGGCCTGGGAACAATTAGAGCTCCTCTCTCTCTCTCTCTCTCTCTCTCAAAGCAAAATGAACCTTGGGGGCCAGACCTGCTCTCCTCCAGATTTTCCTACCCAGAATATTGAAAACATCATTCCATCCAGTTTCAGAAAACAGACCGGGGACCTGTACTCAGACAGCGCAGCATAGAAAAGTCAGTGCCCATCACCACAAGATGTGCCTGTCCTTTTAAACGAGCGAGTGTCATATGTTGAAAGGAACAAATGCATCAGCAGCTTCAGATGCAACACACTTCCAGCGGGTGACATTTCAAAGCCATTATATTTTTAAGAGTACACTTAAGGCATCGTGGTATTCCATTTGACAAGCACCCCCAACTGCCATCTTCAGATCACAGCTCACTTAGACACTTCCAGATTATCAAACCAGCATATATGAGTGTATTCATGTACCCTCCATATTATACAAATGCACACACATGCATTCTTTCCATAATTCCTTCATTCATCTACTGGTAGAAAAAAACATTTGAATTATTCTTCTGAGTGAATAACAGACTGAGCATTTATGCATTTATGCTGATGTCTTATAGGCTGACGAGCCTTGGAATATAAAGCAGGGTTACACAATGTGACGCCATCTGAGGAACTGTGGGCATGGAACTCTTCCTTTGGCCAGAAGTGAGTCTCCCCACATGGGAAGATAGGGATGAGCTCCACTAATAGGTGTGCCTGCTCTACGGCTTTCACACATAGGCCCATCCTGGCAGTACGGGGCCAACAGAGGGGGGTGGGACCCTCCCTTCCACCCAGGATTCGGAGGGGAAATCGTACTATCTCCGGTGCTTCGGAGAGGGTCAATCTCCAGACATGGCCAGAGCGGGATAGCCAGGAGGAGGGCAGGAACATGGCAATACCATGCGGGTACGCTGAGCACAAGCGATAGCGCATGTGGATACGTATGAGCTCGTACCTGTCAGCAGAATTATCTCCCTGCCATGAGGTTACTTGTGCAATAAGTTGTGAGAATATCGCGGCAGTAACAAAACTTCCTGTCAACCCTCCCATCACCTTAATTAAAAAGTGCTTTTGCCTCAGGTTAGAGAAAGGGGGAGAGGCCGCTGCCGGGATGCTCCATTCCCCTCCAGAGGAGCACTGGGCGGCAGCCCACCGACTCCTGCAGAGCTGCCTGTTTGTAATCAACCACCTCGGGCAGGCTGAGCTGACAGACAGCAACAGCTCACGTATGCAAACGGTACCATTGTTAAGGACAGGGGTCCCAAGAGCGGCGGCGATGACCACAAATGTGAGGAAGACACCTCCAAATCGACCAACATACAAGCCGCTTTACCCACAATTACAAACAAGGCACCTCCACAGAAACCAGATACACACTAAGTAACTAATCAACTCCCAGCGTTTCACAGCACAGGCGGCGTACTGATGAATACAGGAAGCCTTATCAACCAGATAAATTCATTCTGGGGGGGGGGGAAACCTTCATTTAAAAATGAAGCAATCCATTGTCACTTTACTGCTCCATGTTTGTAACCATGCAACTGGTATCCAAATCCTCATTGGAGGACTGCAGCAGGACAGACGAGAGCCGTCGAATCTCGGGCATGTAATAGCCGTCTATACACTATATCCGTCAGCAAGTCCAGAGTTATTTTTTTAAAGTTGCTTTTTTTCTTAACACATGAGTGAACCCCACCTCGACACCCCTCCTTCCTGTTGTGTGCATTCTGGGCATGGATTACGAGGTGTCCCCATAAGCACTGCTAAATGACACTAAGCGCCCATGTGGGGAATTACAATGAAACGTTGCATTATTTATGGATCCTCGCTTGTTTGGAATTTCACACTGATAACAGTGTTTCGGCACTTTTCAGTTCCTTGTGTGATTAAGAAAGTACCCGTTTCAATTACCTGTCCTTGTTTTCGGAAATCTCTGAATGAAATTGCTTTTCTGTAAAAGCTAATGTCATTTATCCCAGGCAACAAAATATTTCTTAGGGTGCATATGTGTTTTAGCTATAATAGGCTGGTCATCTAAAGCTTATATTTTCTGATATGATGTAAAAACTTATTTCTGTTCTGTAACAGGATTATTTCTGCTTTTTTTTTTTTTAGTCTTTCAATGGACTCTCCTAGTTGTTTGTTATAACCCGTTATCCCCAGTCAATACATCTCAAAGAAAAAAAATGCCTGATGGAAGAAAAAAAAAGAACAAACATCGGATATCTATATTTACCGGAAGCCACTACTTTGTGCTTCTGAGCTCTGTAACAGACAGCTGTCCTGCTGCGCCTTTCATTTCATCTTCTTTCGCTGTCTTATGAGATGTCTGTTACTCTTTCACACTTTGACGCAAGGCAATGGCTGTTTTGTGGAATCTGGAGCTAACTTCTCGATGATTCTAATCCCCATTGGCTCCTATCTCTGCAGCTCTGCCCTCTAGTGGCTCTCCACTCCGTGACTGATTCGTATTGGCCCTCCATTCTGCACCCTAGGTGACTATTGGCTCTTCCTTGTTCAGCACTACTCTATTGCTCCTCTAGTTCCCTATATCTAAATCAGCAAAACTTGCAGTAGGGGATCAGAGCAAAACTGGCAGATACCAGAACAGCAGTACAGCTGCCAAGGACTCGCATACCTCACAAAAGGAATTAGCGTGTCAGCAGTTACACAGGCTGATCCAAGCCGCAATCTCCTTCTCTCTGCTCATACTTCTAACAAACCAAGATCTTTATATTACAGCGCAGCAGAATAATACACCAGGAACAGTAAAAATCTCAAAACTAATCAGCTAAGAATGTGGATGAGAGACAATAAAAGACGGCTGCATAGCTTGAGTAGATGAGGAATGGGTCACCCATAACTGGGAATTAAAAATAATAATAAAATAGATGGTATTTTCAGAGGTATCTCATGTGTTTAGCAGTCTGAAGGCACAAATGAGAAAACAAACTAGTTACTGTATACTCAGCAAACATACACTGGAAACGCTAACAAAGTCCAAGCATGAAACAAACTACAGTTATACTCAGCAAACATACACTGGAAACGCTAACAAAGTCCAAGCATGAAACAAACTACAGTTATACTCAGCAAACATACACTGGAAACGCTAACAAAGTCCAAGCATGAAACAAACTACAGTTATACTCAGCAAACATACACTGGAAACGCTAACAAAGTCCAAGCATGAAACAAACTACAGTTATACTCAGCAAACATACACTGGAAACGCTAACAAAGTCCAAGCATGAAACAAACTACAGTTATACTCAGCAAACATACACTGGAAATCCTAACAAAGCCCAAGCATGAAACAAAGGGCAAAAGTTCAACAAAACTCAGCCAAAAAAAAGTGTCCGAAGAGAGAACAGCTCTGAAGGAAAGACCATCTTGCAGGTTCTCCTGTTCCAGGCTAACCTGCTTAACTGGCTCCCTTTGAGATTAGATGGTGGGTGATCGTTTTGCCCCCATGGAGGAGAACGTCTTGCCTGGTTTTCAGGATCCACCAGGACACCAGTACATGTCTGTCAGGATGCCTTAAAGCCAACTGATTGTTACCTTCTCAAACAAATAACCAGCATGGCAAGAACTTTCTAGGCTTGGCAAGAACATTTTGGTGGCCAGAGAAAGGCACAAGTCACCCTTAAATAGCTCATGTCCTCATAATCTAGGGAGTCAGTCAGGTCAAAAACCATAGTGCTGCAACAAGTTTCTTCTGCCTTCAGCTCTGGTAGTATTATAGCACCAGATTTCTTCATTTTAATGCCTGTTTTATTAGCAGCATTTATTTCACACCTAATTTAAATAAAAGCAAATGTGCACCGTCAACCAGAATTTGCAAAGAGATTTCTTGCAAGGAACCAAAAATAAAGATAAAGGCTCACATCTTACATAATCAAAACAGCAACTGGTTCAGGAACGTGTGTAGTATGAAATCAAGATTGGTATAATAAAGGAATAGTAATTTTTTATATTATTACTTCAGAACAAAATTCGAGTGGTCAAAATTAGTTGTTCAGAACCTCTTTCGAAACGTGCAATTTCAAGTCCGTAATTACCGTATTTTTGTCGGTAGGCTACCTGGCAAGAGTTTTGATGCATTTCCTGTTTTTACCAACGATTTAACCACATAGTGGAAATTAATGTCAAATTTTCACAATCCAATATTTCATTCGAAAATTAACCAGAGCTACGATTCGCCTAAACACGAGCCGCACTTATCTCCAGTGTGCTCCTCATTTTTGCTTTCTGTCTATATGTTATTCATTGAGATCAGTGAAGTAGCTGACGAAGCCGGTGAGCGCTGGATATCGGCTAAGGGGAATGGCTATCGCGCACCGGACCGTGTCTCTCGGCCGGCACCGGGGGGAGAGTTTATGGCTGTGAGCTCGACGACGGATCGCTCTCATCACACGCTCATTTCCCCCTGGAGACGCGCTTCATTCGGCATTCAAAAAGCTTCAATGTGCCACATAGGTGACAAGGTCGAGCTACACGTTTTAGGGAAATTTAACAGCCACCATTGCACACTTGAGCAGATGAGCTTGTGCAAACCACTTAATTTTTCTCTCTCTCGTCCAAGTTTATTATAGACGTTCGGGTAAGGTAGTAAACCGGCTACAGAAGGGCCGAGACGCGCTTCGCTCCATACTACAAGGAGAATTAAAATGATAAGAATACATGAATATGTTAAGTAAAATTTTAATGCGTAAAGTCCGATGCGCTAAATAAACATGACTGAGTCGTAATGGCTGAGGGCCGCTATACGAAGCGCACTAGAAGCTGTGTCACGTCAGTGAATCAGTTGCCGACGATCAAGTAGCCGGTTTACTGTACGAACTGTAACTGAGCAGCGTTAGCGATTCGTGCTCAGGAAAATACAAGATTATAATTCTGAAATATTGTGAGGCCGGGTTGACTTCTAAAAGTAAGAAGTACGACAGGCATGACTGCAAGCAATTCTTTCTGAATACTGAATCCAGCGTTAATAATATAAATATACNCCCCCCCCGAAAAAAACCACTACATTAAACCTTATTGCAAATCCAGTTATCTGGTGCTGTTACGGAGGAACACGTCTCACTCTCTCCGGAGCTTTAACGAGGACGATGACCAGATAAAATCTATACATTTAAAATAGCCCCAGAGTTAATACAGGCACAACAGCTCATGAATTACTGCGCGATTTAATCAGCTTCTTTATCTTTATTGTTCCAGTAATGAAATCTCTGCAACTACAAAGCTGGGTTTTCATCAAGATTCCTTATCGTCTAAGTTGTGTAGTATTCAATTACTGGGTTGTTTTGTATTTACTGGTTTCAAATACAACGAAATTACATTCTTACAATTACATCAAATTACATATAGGCCTAGGTTATTTTATTATTAATAACTGAGAACACAAACGGTGGATACCTGCGATTTTTAAACAATTTTAGAAACACTGTGTTTGAAGCAAAGGACTAATGAATAGTAAGGTCCTTCACAACCTATAGGCTACTTCGTAAAAGTATATCACATTCTTCTGGGCGTGTGAGTGATGTTAAACAAATAAATTACAAACACTTAAAATTAGCCTTATTTTGTTATACATGACTCTTGCAATAGCATTTGGAGAAACTGGCTCCCTGTTCAGCGAGGTAGCCTACATATCCCAGTCATTTCACTCCTTTTTGTTTAACATACGCCGATATACACAATTTCTCAATTCACACGCACTGAAAAGAACACAAAACAAAATATGTTTGTATAGAAAATATGTATATACATAAAACATAGCCTAACCGTACCGGTAGCTTAAACAGTTTTGTGATTCATAAAAAAGTTAAGTCGGACCAGGCGAAATGCTTAACAGGTTCACGTGGAACTTAAAAGTTACAGCAATAAAGCATGCCGTATTATGCATACTCTTATACCGCTTGTTTTAATGTTAACGTGAACGAATTGACAAAACAAATACGGTGACGTTAATAAAATTGCCAAAACTGAACATAACGTACCTCCTTCGCCGCGCGCCGTTGTGGTCGTCAGACAAACGTGTAGTAAAAATCCAAAAAACATGGTGAAATGATCCATATCTTTTAAAGGATTATTTCGCCCTTTAATCTGTTGAAGGCAACTTGATGTCAAAGTCTCCCGACTGTGTCAAAAATATTTTCCTTTTCGAACTGCACGCGTATCCGCGCAAACTCTTCCCGAGGCGTCGGCTCACTCTCCCTTCTGCTTTTCAGCGGCAATAACACAACATAACAGTTATTTCATTTCAGTTCGTCGCGCATCTCACGCCGGAATAAGCCATACCAAACCCTATACAGACTAGGCGAGATAATAGATACTTCTTACACGCATATTTCAGCACGACGGAAACGTTTTCTTGCAACAAAAAAACAAACATGTGTCTTAATTCCGCGGCTCCGCAGTTAATCTCTGAAGTGTGCGTCTTTTGGTTACCTCTCACCCGCCCCCAAAATCCCCTGACAAGCGCTGCTTTCTGTTCTCCGATCGCACGGATTTTGACTGAAAACGAAGTAAAATTAAGTGAGTATCACAACACGGAGCGGCATTCGCGGGGATCTCCAGTATTTTTTAAAGCAGGATCAGGATCTTATGATATAAAATGAGTGAGTCGGTGGCCGCGGTGCTCCGCCGATTAGTGCCGTCCCCGCACTCTAGCGCGTCCTTCTGTCCGCCGCTCCGTTTCCGAGCCAAGTCCCGGAGCAGCGCTGCGGCAGCATGTGTGTGTAATAGCATTAGAGCGAAGCAGCTATCGCATTACAGTCAGCACCTCGGCCCGCCTCTCCCCCCCGTCACTGATTAAAGAGCAGCTTTCTTTAAAGTTATAAAAAGAAGGGTAGGAAAAAATAGAAGTGTACACACGAACGCACCGAAGACATTTCGGCGTACAGAACCACTGACTTATTTTGATAATTCTGCAAAATCTGGCCGAGTCTGTGCATGTGTGTGCTTAAGAATACCCTACGTCAATCAAACCAGATTAGCCCATGTACTGTAATAAGAAAGAGGGCGAAAACCACGATAGTAATTATTCAACAATGATCTGGACACCCATGAATATAAAAAACACATGCGCAGAGGTTTTTTATGTCAGATCAAAAACTTTATTTAATCAATAACCGTAATTATAAAATAATCATGCAATACAATTTATATAATAACCATTCATTTTGTACTACTTATTGCATCTTTGTCTATTCCAAAAAGTTGTTTTTGAGAATACTAGCTGTGAAAGTGCAGAGTAGAATCAGTGAGTTACTACTGGAACAGAAAAGTTATGGTAACGCAAAGCTGCAAAACATGCATCTAAGAGCTGCACAAAAAGTATACCTGCCTGAACAAGGAGCAGGACAGTATTAGGAACAACAAGAGGAAAAGCCAATTCATTGCCCCAGAGGGCACTGTGTTTGTAAAAAGACAAGTCATTGCCAGCTTATACTGTATTTAATTCTGAGGTCAGGTCTCTCAAATGATTGTCCATTGACTCAATGGAAAATGATATATGTTTACTTGCGTTCCAGAGCAACATAGCCCATGTGTGGCCTCTGGCCAAAGAACCAAAGCAAATAAGCTTGCAACTGGGCCTGTGAACCTGCAGCCACTATTAGTGGAGGTGTGTAATATTACTATGTGAAGCTGAATTAAGATTAGGGGATGCCATTACTTCATACTGTAAATAACAATTCAGCTGATTTCTTAATGTTTTTTTCTCCCAAACCCAGAGGCTGCCCAGAATGCAAAGTGAGTATCAGAACCACAGGGATCCGCAAGTCAGCAAACTGGTTGGAAATCAAGAATCCCAGCTTTCCATATAAGAAAAGGCTAACCCACAAAGAGGATTGGGATGTCAATGCATGCAATCATCCAAATTTGTTCTAAGTTTCCTTGCCATAGCTCCTCTTTTGATTAAGGCAGCGGCTGAAATTTTCAGAGAACGCACAATAAAACTTGGATGTGGAACATATTCGTACTGAAGGCAGAGTTACGGATTGCCCTCCACGCTCGGAGAGAAAAGGACATCACTGAGCGTCATATGCTGTTTGTTCTCAACCACACCCCGTGCATCAAAGCTGAGTAACCTGCATCCAATCAGGATCCCCTAACCAAAATGTCAGCTGCTGCTGGCTTTAGCCTCCCATCAGCTACAGTAACTACTATGCTGGGAGTTTTAATGATGCAGCAACTTCCCACAGCTTCCAAAATAAGCTATTTCAAAATCTACATTGTCAGTTTGTGACCAGTGTGGGTGTGGCTTGTGACCAGTTTCCCCACTTGCAAACGTGGACCACATTAAATGTTTCTCCCCATTAAATCTGGGTAGGGAGGATAGGCATTTTCTTCTGGACAGTGTTTCTAAATCTATCCCAACAGTGGTTAATCTAGCACCTTTGACTCTTGGCATTCTGTAGTTATTGCTGAAGGCGAGTCACATGATTAATCCTGTGATTCAAGGGGCTTCCTACAGCTGCTTAGTTATAACTTCCTGTCACTCAGAACTTTTTTTTTTTTTGATACCCATATTGTAAGTGTTTGTCTGTCCTACGCTCGGTCTTGCCCTTGTGTTTGTCAGCTTCGCACTGTGGATTGTGCATTTGGTGCTCTCTAAAGCCCAGCCAGATCCCCACAACAACTCTATCTGATGCAAAGTTAACAGGGCTTTTCAGCAACTGCTCTGGTGTAGCGTTTGCAGTTTGATACGGTTCAATCTAGATCATCTGAAGTGAGATATATAGTCACTATGAATTAATTTTTTACTTCCCTGCTAAGATTTATGTTATGTTATCACTTATGCTCTCCTGTAAAGTTTTCCAAGTTGGAAGTTTAACAAGACATGAAATAAGTTGATGTCATATAAACATAAACATGTGCAAAAAGCAGAGGCTGTCACTAGGACATAGGGCGGGGTCAAAGGGCTGTATTTCTGTTTGCATTCTCAAAGAAAATCAATGGCACAAAGGATGAATTCTCAAAAAAAAAAAAAAAAAAAAAAAACAATTTTGTTCCTGTGCTTTTTCACACACTGCACAGCTGGAGGACGGTAAGCCGCAGAGATAAAATGATAACAGCATTTTTAGTAAAAAAAATCCATGGTCTTTTCCCTCCATCAATCCAAGAGCATTGTCATCTCCAAAGGGAAAAAACAATTTATGTAGGCCTACTGAGTGCTGTGTAGCCGCACATACCTACTCCGCCACTCTCATCAATAAGGAATGCTGGAGTATTAAATGCATGTAGGAGTATTCAATTAGTAGGTCAACTGCACATGAACGCCATTGACGCTTTCATTTAGGTCATCAATGCATTAATAGATGGCTTTCTCTCTGCCTAGATCAATCATCACATTTTCAAGCACCAAAAATGCTTAAGACTTATTGCGACCTCAGACGTCTGATTCCCCGGTTAATCAGGCTTCGCCCTCGATTCCAGCCTAGTATGTGAGACATTCGCTCTCCGATGCGCCTGTCTGTGGTGGCAGGATTCCGCTTGTATCTCGGCTGCAGGACGAGCTGCTCCCGCCGCATGCGTTACAGCAGCACCTTCTAGGGCTTCTGATAAGATTGTTCACTCTGAGGATTGTGTTTCACCGCCGATCTTGTTATCTGCACTGTTGCCCAATTTTCGTAGGGCTTCTAGGTAAATGTCATATGAAGAAAATCCACGGCCTCAGCTGAAGTGCAGTTTGGGTATGTAAATAGGGACTGCGTAGGTTTCTGCTCTATGTGTATACATGCGGTTTCAGGACCTACCTCAAAAGTGGGACCTCTCCATTATAATTCATAAATGGGAGTTTAAAAATAAAAAATAAAAAAAATACAGAACCAACTTTGCACATTTTTTTATGGGACATAGAAACAAATGTTTAGTGTTTATAGAGATAACACACACGGAGGAACATTTTTTTTCCATCTTGAGATTTTGAGAACACCCGCTAATTCAAATCCGATAACCTGCATATATGTTACTGAAATCGCTGTAAACTATATTATTGGTTTGTTGCCATGGTTATTTCTTTACCGAGTAGTCATCTCTAAATCAGCAAGCCGAAAGTGAAAAAAAAATGACAGCAGAGTTGGGTTTAATTTTACAGATGGATCAAAGCTATTCGACTAAGAACCGTAAGGGGGCAGTTCTCCGCCGAGGAGTCGGTGCTGCACCGTGCGGCTGTAAGTGCATGGCGGAGAGGGGTGACTACAGCTTTTCAGAGGGGACTTAAACTGATTTCGGAGTGAATATACTATTACGGTAATGGATATACTGTACCGTTATATGTGTGACAGATGCAATACAAAGTCTGAAAGCACATCGGATGTAAAGGTAACGTTAGTTCCGTCATCGAGAGAAAATGAGCACGCAGGAACTGTTAAAAAAGGTGATATTTTACATTAGAAACGCTTTCCAGCATCATAATATATTATTAATGGCAGTCGAATTGAAAATATCCCTGTGTATGTTTTCGTAATATATTGCACAAAATCGTCAGCGGGTTTCAGGTGTAGATGCGTTTCAATCGTTTGAACCGGGTTAAAGCAGCAAGTCATATAATTAGAAATAGATTTGACCCAGAACCTGCTGGTAGAGCGTGTGTGATGATCATTTGATCTCTATGTGGTGCTGTTTTGCCTGTCCAAATACCTACCCACTGTGTGTTAATGTGCCACCTGAAGGAAACACGTATACAAATTAGCTGGAGAAAACGTCCTGCTGCCAGAGGTGGCAGACACGGCAGTAATGTTTCAGCCTGGCCGCCTCCTAGCCGTGATCGCTGATGGGGGCGGGGGTGGATATTAACAGGAATAACAGTCACCCTGGTATAGTGCCCCCCTGCTTTGGAAGGGCAGGGACAGAAATGTAAGCTTGCAGGGCAGTACAACAGAGGAGTGCCCACAAACATGGAGCTCCTCTGGCTCCTGTATGCCGTTTGCTTTTGCCTTTTCTTCTCTGTGTTTTATCTTAGTCACAGAATTGCTTGGCTAATCTCCTTGTATCTTTCTTTTCTATTTTTCTTTTTAGTATCTGTGTTGTTGTTGCTGTTGTAATTGTTGTCGCTGGCCACTCCCCAAACAACAAGGGCTGAGTCATTCGAGCATACAAAAGTTGTTAGGTTTGTTTACTATAAATGTTTTCTTCTAAGGTTACGGGGGTAAAAAAAAAAAACAGGGCTTGGCATAACACCCCTTCAGGTATTTGTTTCACACTCCCCCCACCATCTGAACAGCCCCCTTGTCTCTCCAACTTTAAATCACCTCAGAACAACCCTATTATGATAGCATTTAAGGGTTCATACCTTTACTTTTACTGCCCGTGCTCAGTCTGCAGTAAATGCTATAGCTGGTCTTTGAGAACAGGTTCACCTCCCCAAGAGAGAATCGACATTAGTCATGGGGAGCCGGGGTAACAGATCATCCAGATCATAGTCTATTACTGAATTGTACTTGACTACCAACATACTAGTGATTTGTTCAATTACTGCCACATAACAGGCGTATTGACTGCTGAGTCAATATCGTCAATATGAAAATAGCCACTCTCTTTACTACGGCTGTAGAAACACAGGGGACAGGTCCTGTTGTGAATTATAGTTTACGCTATCAGGTGTTAATCTGGTGGTAGTGTATATATAATATGTGTGTGTGTGTGGGTTTGCATTGATCACATTTGAGGACCAAATTGTCCCCAAAATGTAGTAAGACCTGACATTCCCCTACTTTTGGGGACATCTTTTGAGGTCCCCATTTAGATAACCTCAGTTTTATAAAAAAATCTGTGAATGCAATAGTAAAAAAGTAAAAATGCCAAAAGTCTTGTATTTGGGTTTGTTACTTATG